TGCGTTTTCTCCGTTTTGGGTGTCTGCGTGTGGACAGACAAAACCGGAGTTTTAAGGTCCGCAACGTCACTTTCCACGACAAAAAAATGCTGACATCACGTGCGCCACCTGTGTTTACACTAGCCGACAGCATGGATGCCCTCAGAGCTGCGCTCGCTTTATCAATTGTCCAAGCGCTTTTTGCTTGTTTGTTTTTGCAAGCGGAATTACTGCTCCTTGCGGAAGACCACAGACGAAGGACGAGGTTAAGAACGGGGGAAGTACTGCCGCCTACAGGTCTGGCATGTCCGTAACAACGTATTTATCCGGGTACGTGTGGACAGAGTTTTTTTTTTAAACGAGGTGGTGTGGATGCAAGTTTTTGGAGGGGCGGATATTCGTTTAAAAAAAAAACCTGGCTACGTGTGGACTAGGCCTTAGACTCCCTGCTGTTCTGCATTTACCATGACAGCGACCAGCGTTTAGTTATGTCTAACACTGATGTGGGTTGGGACATTATCCTTACGACATGTTATACCTGATTTTGTCCACGGCCATTGCGACATTGCTAAAAAAAAATAAAATACAATCAGCGGTGAAATCAGAGAACAAGCATGGAGACAAGTTTGTTTAAAACAATGGAGGAAGCAGACGGCACCATTTTAGATCCACTGAACTGATAAACAATCGACTTTAACAGCAGATCAGATCGCTTAGGATGAAGAAAAGTATAAATACTGCGATTACTTCTGTTCTTTATTATGAATAACCACTCAGCTACAGACTCCTTAATAAACACACATCCCATTTCTGTTATCTGACTTTGTGTGGAAAAATTTGCTAATAAAAGTAAGGCTAACGCTTGCATTTCATTTCATTTAGTTATTTCTTTATTTATTATCATTACTGTTATTATTATTAGCAATGGCACCGTTTCCTGTCCAAACCTAAAAATAACCTGACCAGCGGAAACACTGGCTGTAAACCCAGGCCCGTGTTATATAACTCAGAGGTTGGGAGCAAATCAATTCACTCTCTGCAGCAATTTGCTCGGCAAAATTCTCTTTCAAGATTGCCCTTAAATCCCTCTGTTGGGCTCTTTGAAGTGTATAAAGAGCATGAAAAATGATGGCAAAAACTCGCCTGGACTGCTCTCCTTACAGAGCAGAACTTAAGAAACTTTCTCTGCTTCCAACTTTTTATCACCCACCCCCACCCCCATCCTCTGAGATCTGAATTGATTTCATTTGGGAGCCATCAGAAAGCTCTCATTAGCATTTCAGACTCCGCTGTCTGACCCTCACCTTCCTGAGTTAACCTCACGGTTCAAAAAGGAAGGAAGGGAGTGGAGATAAGAGGATGAGACGGAGAGAAAACGATAAGAAAAAGACGTTTCCCTCAGCAGCCATCTGGACATTAACAGGCACTGCTGAGTCAGTCGTCTGAAATAATAACCACGAAAACTGTTTTATTCTGTCTTTTCTTGAGTCTAAAAAAGAAGAAAATGGTAAATTATTGCTAGACAGAAACCACTAAAAGGATGCTGCTGCTCGTGTATCAGCTCGAGGTAAATCTAGATTACAGATTACAGGTTTAATGGTGTTTAATAGTGAGCTCCTTCAAAGGAATCTCCTACCATCTTTATGCAGATGACATCCAACTGTACATCTCCTTCAAGCCCCATGAGATGTCTAAGCTGCAGCTGTTACCCACCTGCTTAGACTCTATCAAAACCTGGATGGCTGGGAGCTTTCTTCAGCTGAATGAAGATAAGACTGAGATCCTCATCTGTGCCCCAGACAAGCTGGTTCCCAAAGTCAGAGACTCTCTTGGTCAGCTTGCTTCTCACATCAAACCTTCTGTCAGGAATCTTGGCGTGACCTTTGACCCAGCTCTCACCCTGGATTCTCATGTCAGTTCTCTTGTTCGCTCTTCCTTCTTCCATCTCAGGAACGTTGCTAAGCTGAGTCCCATTCTGTCCCGCTCTGAACTTGAGACAGTTCTCCACACCTTCATCTCCTCACACTTAGACTACTGTAACTCTCTTTTCACGTGTCTGAGCAGAACCTCCCTGAACCGTCTACAGGTGGTTCAAAATGCCTGTGCTCGGCTTCTGACCAAGTCCTCCAAACACACCCACATCACCCCGCTTCTCCTCCAGCTTCACTGGCTGCCAGTCAACTTCAGGGTTCATTTCAACATCCTGGTTCTGGTCTATAGGGCCTTACATGGACAAGCACCATCTTACATTGGTGATCTTCTTAGTCCCTACACTTCCAGCAGGTCCCTGAGGTCCAGTGATCAAAGCCTACTGGTTGTGCAGTACCAGGCTAAAGGTCAAAGGTGACAGATAATTTGCTGCTGTGGCCCCCAGACTCTGGAACTCTCTCCCCCTGAGCCTGAGATCAGTGGACTCAGTGGTCTCCTTTAAAAAGCAGCTGAAGACTCACTTGTTCAAGCTGGTTTTTGTATGACCTTCTTCACCTCTCTCTCTTTATTCTGCTCTCCCCACCTATCCCACCTTCCTCAGGATCCACTGATTTCCCTCTTTCCTGTTCACTCTCTCTCTCTCTCTTAAATCACAATTGCCTATTTTTGCTCATTTTAAATATATTTTTAAACATTTTCTAAATGCTTTTTTATATTTTTACATTTTTGTTTTTGTGAAGCGCCTCGTGATTTTTATCTTGAGAGGCGCTATAGAAATGATATTTTCTTCTTCTTCTTTGAAGAGGTTTGAACCATTTTGTGTATTATTTTTCTATAAGATTCATAATTAATTAATTAATATTCTACCTTTTACAGATGGATTCATGTCAGTGTTCATAGAGATAGTCTTGAAACAACTCTTTATGCGCGTGTCTTCTTATGAATCGTGTTACATTTAGGGTCAGTAAATAAATGGTCTGTATTGTATGGCGCCTTCTTAGGGTTCTACAGCCCCCCAAGGTGCTTTACAACACAATCAGTCATCCACCCACTCACGCGCTGGTGATGACGAGCTACAACGTAGCCACAGCTGCCCTGCTGACAAAAGCGAGGTTGCTGAACACCACCAGCGGGCAAGGCAGGTTAAGTGTCTTGCCCAAGGACACAATGGCAGCGATCTCTGAAGGGAGACGGAATCGAACCTACAACCTTCTGATTAGCGGACAAGCCGCTCTACCACCTGAGCTAACTGCTGCCCCCGTGTTACATTTAGGGTTCTGCAGGAATTTATCAGCACCTTACCTGATGATTCACGCAAGTGAGCCGCACATGTACGCCCACTTCCTGTTAGGCAGAATTTAAGTTACAGTTTATTAATTAACCCTTTTTAGGGCGAGTGGCCATAACTGATCACTTGTGTACGCTAAGTTTTAATTTGCAGGCTAAACTTGAATAAAATAAGGCTTAAAAAGAACAAAGTAAAAATGTTCAAATGGAAGCGAAACGTTAAAAACTAGAAAGTTAGAAAATATTTATGAAAATTTAATAAAAACCACAGTATTAGAAGAAGATTAAAGTGTTTTGAGGGATTTTAAACAACTCAATGTGTGTTAATGTCACTTAGCTCACAGCTCTAATGCAAACGGGTCTACACCCAAAGCAACCTACTGAGTTTCACACGTTTCTTTCTTCATTTCAGTTATTTTGGCAAAAATATTAAGAAATTCCTTCTGGGCTTGAAAACCTGCTGGGATGCACCAGAAGTGCAACTTTTTTGCTGCTGCTAGTGACCTTTACACTTTCATTGAGACTAAAATAACAAAACAAGCTACTAGCAGAGTAAAGATTAATACAATGTCATTCAAACCATATTTTAAGACGACAGCAGTACATCGTGGTCTTGGCTGCTCTCAGACTCCAGCAGGATGCACGTCTCAGAAGTAAGGGTCATTATAATTCATGCATCTAATCTGGATAGATGTACAGATCTCAGGTTTCCTTGATGAACGTGCTGTTTGCATATAAATAGTTTGTGCAAAAATGGCAGAAAAAGTTGTTTCTGCTGTGTTTTTATGCAGACAGGACTTAAGGTTTCCATTAGTAAGCAGGACAGTGTTTGTGTGGTTTTAGGTTGCATTGAGTTCTACGATAATCCCTCCTTATCTCCCTTTACCTTACAGTAACCTGCATTTAGCTGCTTTCTGATGACACTTTGCACATTTTGACCATTTGACCTCAATCGCGCTATCTTCTTAAATCTGCCCCGACCACAAGCTGTGATCACAGCTCGCTCCACGGACGTTCCAGCGGTTATTTGACACCTGGCGCCGCGAACGAACAAACCACAGGTGGTGAAGGTCAAACCCCGAACAGGTCTCCTACTTTCATTTAACACCTTCTGCTTGTCGAAATACTCTGATTCCTCTCTTCACACACACACACACACGCACACACGCACGCACACACACACACACACACAGCCTCCCCCTGACTGTGTCACCATGTCAGCCTCAGAGAAACAAACATGTCTGGGCTTTCTTCCAGGAGCTTGGATGTATCTCTTAAAAGCTTCCGCCGCCAAGGAAGAGCAACTCTTCAGACTGCCTCTTCTTCTATCTCTACTTGGCCTCTGTAGTCACCACAGCCTGGAGACCTGAGTCGATTAGAACATCCACACGCGTACTTATAAAAAAATCTCTTCATTGTGCTTGTTTGCCCCATTTCACCCTGCAGGCCAACCTAAAAAACAAATACACGATTCTACTTATGTGTTACTAGATCACACATTATCTAACAGATTTCCTAGGAAAACTAACAAAACACACTTATGTGTGAATGCCTTCTATCCACCTACTGATAATATGACGTCAAAAGTGACCCATAGAAGACATTTCTAAGAATCCCGGGTCTTTTCAGTGCCGGGTGGTTAAGCTCTAATCAAACCAAGAACCTGTTTGTTTTTAGGTTTTCTGGAAACTCGTGCTTGAGTGGATTTTATAGAATAGCTCAAATCTGCCAGCAGGACAGGTTTAATGGTTCAAATAGGCAGCCACATCGAGGCTAAATAGGTTAAAAACCGAAGGTAGCTTTACCGGACGGAGAGGGTGAAATCCCCAGGATTGCTCTTGCTCGGTCGGGCTAAGAAACTGCCGTGGACTCCCCGGGTCAACAGGAGCTGCTCTGCCTCAATTCCGGTGATGTTGGGATGGAACCACCTGAAAATATA